TTATTGAATTAATTACTCACAATTATTATTAAAATGACACAGTATGTTTCGATTTTTGAGGAATGTTAGACCGAGGGTTTCTCTGCCGTGCTGTTTCCCCTCGTTAGTTCCAGGTCGAGAACGGTACGTTTTTCTTGGATAATAAAGGAGACGTTTCACAATTTTTTCTTTCTTTTACATATCACAACTTCCCTTAAATTTCCGAAATATTTGCTATGTCGGGCGCATGTCCAGTAAGTAAAATTGAGTAAGTTTCCACAACGTAGGTCCTATTTGTTTTTCATTTCGTTTTTCAGAAGGTTTGTTGTTTAAAAAAAATTCTCATCGTTCAATCTTACTGATCGAACCCGGGTATGTTATACTACATCTTCAAAAGGCGGTTTCTTCGTATAGTATGTACATTTCTTGATTTCGAAGTAGTATTGATACTATTACAAGGTCAGTTAAGTTAGCCCCCCCCCCCCCCATAGAAAATTTCTGGATGAAAATTATCCCATAATTTTGCTTTCATTTTGCTCCACTAATTTCGATTTTTGTTCAATTACAGTGGAGAGACTACTGAATTAATGCTCCCCCCCCCCCACTGAAAGTTCAGAAATTTGATCATGCTCATTTTGTTCTCCGAGTTTTTCTCCATTTTGCTCCATTATCGGCGAGTTTAGCTCCATTACCAGGAGAGACCTACATAGCTCCCAAAGATCTCTCCGCGGGGGGTTAGGAGGAAAAGAATTTTTAACTTGTTATAAGCACAACATGTATGTTATCTCACATTTATCTTTCAGTAATCAGAACACTAAGGGAATGTAGTGTCCAATGAAATAACCATGTATAGTAAAAAAATGCTTAAAAAATTTTGTACAGTATTGAAATGTTACATCCATGTATAAAATTTCTGATTTAGTTAAAAATGCCAAATTTGTTTTACATCCCAACACCACTATTCCCTGTGAACATTCGTTATATAACACAGAATCCTCATTTTTTGATGTCTTGTAATTATCATGAAAGTCACTCAGGAACTTATGTACTTCCTCTTTGTTGCGCGGTATAGTCGGGTATGTTTTTCGACGCTGATTGTACATATTCTCCCTTACACATTTTAGTCTTCGCAAGTTAAAACACTAAGGTGGTCTGTTTTATCTATTACGCTTCGAATAATTTTTGATGGTTTTTCCACCATAACAATTTGTGCTTTCCTTTTGCATGCCGCAGTGACAATTTGCCTTGATATTTTTCTTTCGCTTTCTGGAGGATGATCATGCTGGCCTTTCACGAAGGTAATAACTAAATTTTCAGTTGGGCCCACCGTGTAAATAAATACTTTTGAGCATTTTCGATTAGCACATCTCCACACTATTTTATAACTCACTTCACGATGCTTAGAAAATTTATAGTTTTCATATAAAATTTGGTTCTGCCCTCGCTGACTCGAAATAACTTCAAAATTGGAAAACATATTGACTGACACACTGCACTTCAACTCTTCTATACTAGAACTGATTAAATAAACTTTTGATTTCAATATTTATTGACCCAAAATACCTGTTACCTGTAATTAGTACCTACCCTGCTAGCCAAGTCTCTGCTAGGTACCTAGTACCTCGGGTTGTTGTGACCACTTTCGTGCATATTTATTTGTTACCAGAAATTACCAAGGGGTGAAAATATTAAAATGTGACTAGATTCATTACGCCCTTTTCAAGAAACCTCCACAAAAAAATAGTCACGTATCTCCTCAATTGTAATTTGTATACCTAATACCTATAGTAAGTACACTTAGACCCTAGGCCAAGGGATCATGAGGCAAAAAACTTTTAGCACGACCATAGCGAGAAGTGGAATTCATTGAGAGATAGAAAGTCACTTTTGTTACAAACCTACAAGTACACAATTTTTCACACTTTTGGTAATTAACTCATTTACCTTAGTGATAGCCATAGTTTTTGAGTGTCTCTGGTATATAAAGGAAGAATTACGAACACTTACTACCTACTATAAACATTTTTAGCTAAGGAAAGAGAAAATAAACATTTTTTAAAGCAACAGATGCACGTTTTTTTGCTTTATGTACCTACTCCTCATATAGGTACTTAGGTTGCCTAAGGTAGTATTTGAAAACCCCCCGTATATCCGAAACTACTCATAGGATCGGATTGTACCCATGAAAACTTCTACTCAGGAGGTCGAAATATACAACATACCAAAATTTGGTTAAATTCCGCGTTCAACCAAAATCCCATAAGAAGTGTGCGGGGTCCTTTGTATCAGTGCTACCCTTGCCCTCTTGATGGTGTGCGTGGCTCTGAATGCTCTGATAGTGAAATGCCTATATCTGTCTGTGCACCATTCTATCAGACGTTGGGTCATCTCTGGTGCGCTTTGGTTTACGTCTCCTGAAAGGCAAGGCATTGAGACCGTTTTCGTTCGCCTTTTCACTAGCGCAGGTAGTTGCTAGATCTTAAGACATAAATTCTGAGTCCAGTTGAGAATTTCAGTTGGGTGTCGAGTCGAGAAGCAGTGCTATTCCTGGTCTGTCAAGTTTTGTAAATTAAAGTATGATTTATTGTCGAGGCATATAATGTGTCCCCTAATGATCCAAGGTTCTTGAAGAAGCGCAATATTCCGTCCCTGTCCAAATATCTAAGCTCGTTAGTGACAGCTTGTGAATAGTGGAGGTTTATTTGGATGTAATGGGTGCCTGAGTTGAGGTGGTTTTAGGCTTGGTTGTCCATAATTTATTCCTAGGCTCTTCAAATTTTCGAAGGATTTTACCGAAAATTTTACGTTCAGTCCTTTTAATTTATAGGTTGGTTTACCTACCATTTGGTCCTGGGAGACTTATTACCGTTTCCACCAACTATTTTAGGGGAGCCTTAAGGATGAGTATTCCCTAAAACGACATGTTTATATGGAGAAATGTCAGTTTAAGGAATACTTATCGTTAGGGCTTCCCTAAACTAGTTGGTGGAAACTGCCATTATAGGTACGGTTTGTAAGGGCAGTGTGCGACGCACAACTCATATTCTGTCAAATCATCCTAGTGTAAATTATACATACAGTTGATTTTAGTCAGCTTGGGCTGTTACGGTCCAACCGTTTGACCAAAAGCCCTAAGTAATTTTTCTAATTCGTCTTCTCTGTGTTTCTCTATCACCTATGTATAAGCATAGTTTTCTGTTAATTATATTGTTAAATTTCGAATATTGGACATACCTACCTATCGCTCCACGCCAAGTCTCATAACGTCCATTTGTTTCAGGCCTTTAGTCGTCACGCTTTAGTTCTTAACTTTGAGTAAAGAGTTAAACGTTAATCTTACTGTATATTTCATGTCGTACCTCCTGTCTTCAGCCTCCGCTAGACAATTGGAAGCTTTAGTGACTTCTAGTTACTGAACTCCAGTGCCCAGGGCCAGTTGCTTCTTGTCGCGACCCTGATCCAGTCCCAGGCCATCGGAAACACTGGAAGATATCAATCCAATCCTTCAGGTTCGCCTCAATGGATTAGGGATTAGGGACTACTCAGGTTTGATAAGTGTGTTCAAATTTCAATTCAATTCAAATTTCAGTTGTCCTAATATCTGGAACCTGTCAAACCTTACCAACCCCTCGTTGGAATAAATCACCACAGTGACGCAGTCTTCTACTACAATATTAAATTTACCCTTCATGTTATGTGTTGTTATTTCAATTTTAATTAATTATCTATATTACCTATATTATATTAAATTTGCCCTTCAGGTTATGTGTTTTTACTTCAATTTTAATTAATTATCTAAGTATATTACCTATATTATCCCATAATATTAGATTTGCTCTTCAGGTTACGTATTGTTGCTTCAACTTTAAATAATGATCTATATCTCTCTAATATCCCATAAATACATGCTGCACTGAATACAGGAAAATACTTGTACACTGTGGTTGAATGGCCATTTACGAAGGTACTGCAATTAGTAAACTTGTCTATTAATTTACATTTCAGGTATTATTGCTGTTATAAGTGCTATACAATACTCTTTACTTTACTTAGGGAGTCAAGTTGAGTTAAATTATTGTGAATACTATTACTTTTTTTAGAACGTAAGGTTGGGTAGTCCTAGTCGATTTATTTTGTTCTTGTTCTGGTTCCAGTGTTAATAATTTTCAGTGTTCCAAGGCGTTCGGAAAACCCACTCCGAACCTGCTCCAGAGTCAAACCTGTTCTGGTTCTAATTAAAAACTCGTACCTGATTGTAGCAAAGCGTTTCACTTCTGCCCTTCCTTCTTGTTTACTTTTATATTTCAGGTTGTGTTGCTATAGGTCCGTAGAAGTTTCCTGCTTTCGTTATATCGGTTGATTTCCTGTACTGCAGGGAAAAGCAGGTGGCGCTCTATATTTGATTATTTATTTATTTAATCCACACCCCTCTCTGCATTGGAAGCTAGTCGGCAACCCTTCACACGAAGTCCCGTTTCTAGATTTCAGCCACCGACCAACCCTTTCCTTGTATTTATTTTTTTTGTTACCCATTAACTGTCTCACTTCCTCAAATTTTATTATTTACTTTTCAATCGCGTTTTGCGGGTAACAGCCGGTCGTGAAATAGCGTTTCTGAACCTTGAACGATTTTAAACTAACTTTGTAGCTTTAAACTTGAAGGAGTCAAAGCTTTGAACATTTTTCTAGTAAAGTACCATAGTTTTGGGGTTCTTGTACTTACAGCTACCCCATTATTTAGAAAAATTTCTAATGTCTTTGGACTCTTCGGACACCTTTGAATGTGATCTCGGCCTATTTTTTAAAAAAATATATACGGATTATGCTATTCGATAGGGAAAGGTGATAAATTTACCTGTACCTGTGGAAATCGGATTGTGAACAGGATATATATGACATATTGACTACATTCTTCCAGTTTGATGTTGTTTTGATCCCGGGATGCAAACCAAAATTTACTTTTAAAATAGGTAGGTAAAAGCGAAGTTTACGTAAAAGACAGTAAATGGAAAAAAAAGGTATAACATTCTCTCGATAAAGTTTATTTGAAGTTCAAATAAATTTCTTTTAAATTACTAAGCAGCAGGTGGTAATTCATCAGTAACGGCTACGGGACTTGCTGTTGATACCTGTGGACCTACATCATCTTTTTCCGGTATTGTATCATCGTTGCAATTATCTTTGTCACAAGTTTTACAGTACAAAACTTTCAAATCTTGTTTTTTTAGTTCCTTGCAACCATTTTTCCAGCAACGACGAACGAATAAGGGATGGGTTGCTTGGGCTACAAAAAAATTAATTTATTTTACAAAATTATGTGCAAGTTGGAAGAGCTTTTTATGGGAGAAATTTTCAAATGGGGATTTGTACAAGGTTTTAATTTTTCTTTTTTTTCATTCGTAGCAACAAATATCTAACGAAAACAGTCGCTATTCATTTATTATTATTATTTTATTCTGTTTGCGGCCTCACTTACAGTTTCTTATGTTTGACTAGCCCGATATTAAATTATAGTTTTTCTCTGGAATGACTTCTTTTTCATTATTTCTCTTTCTAGCTACCTACTTAGTTCTGGCATGAAACTATTGGGGTTTTTACTTACTCTCAGAATCCTTTAAGAGTATCGCAGCAGATATGCATTCTTTTTCAGTAATGGTGCAGCCATGACTTTCTGGAGCTGGAGGAACACACTCTGCTATATCTTGCGATTCACAAAAGTAACATCTCTCCGGGGAAGCTAAAATATCTGAAAGAGATAAAAATTACTTATGGCTTTATTTTCAATATTACTAAATGATATTAGATCGGATATTGGTAATGCGATTTCTCATACTGATTTGAAAAAATCAGTTGCAATAATTCATTTCAAGTGTTGATACTTATACAAAATGCTACATAAATCTATATGAAGCAAACTAGTGAAAATTTTCTTTACTGGAAATCTTCCTCGTGGGGTTGCAGTCAATTAATTCCTTATGGACCAGGGACAAAAAATTAAAACATTTTGTTGCTTTGTCAAGCTTCCCGCAGGAAATTTTTCAGTGAAGAAAATTTTCACTTAGTTTGCTTTCTATACTAATCAGTCACGATTACCCTAAATCTATTAAAATTATATAGGTACTTGGTTATTATTTCTTCAAATCCAAGATTCAGAAATTGACGACAAAAAAAAAATATCAGTATAAATTTCAACAAAGGTAGGTATATTCTGCACCAGACATCATTTCAAATCCCTAGCAAATATGGTCTCTAGTAGTTATATTAGATAGACTCGCAGTCCGGGAAAAAAAGAAATGTTTTGTTATAAAAAAGGCAGAAAAATTATACTTACAGTCCATTTTAACGCAAATTAGTGCAGCAAAGACTAATCTCAAAATTGTGGACATTTTTCTAATGAAACCTTCACCGGAGTACTGAAAAGGTATCACTGTTCAATAGATAGGTAGGTACCTATTCCTTTTATACAGATATACCTACGTTTGATAATTTAATAAAGAGTTATTATTAAGGCCAATTATCGATAAGTCGAAAGTAGTTAGGTACCTATTTATTTTTCTCATATTTTATAATTTGACAAAACATTGGTACCTACCTACTTTAGTACAGTCAATTTATATTTGAAACCAGAAAAATTGCGGTTAGACTAAATGTTTACTGTTTCGCTGGTCAGTTGGTTAATTATTGAGAAATGTGTCACGTACAAATTTTGCCTTAGTGAGTACGCAACTGAGATTTTGAATAAATTCAGTATTTAATTCATGTATTTGTGAGAGTATTTATGAAGCTCTATACCTGAAGTTTTATTGTTTTTCGGTGAACGATAGGTTTTTCATTGGGTTTTACTAGGTTTCTGCCTTTTATTTGGATGCGAAAGAATAGCTAGTTGTTAAACAAAGTAGGGATATTTTGCGAGGTAATTCTTTGCATTTAGATGACAGGATTGTTTAAATATTATAAACCCCTAATAGTAGGATCGAAATCTATTTTATTTAGCCCACGAAAGTTATCCAAAAAGCACTAACTATTGATGATAATCTCTGTTTACTTACTTCCTAATAATTATCAATTGTCAATACTTACGATTCTCGTATTTTCCATCATTAGAAATTCCGCAACACCACAGATCACTATCGCACACTGTAAATCGATGTTTCACCTTTAATTTCACTAATATTTACATTTTTCCCGGTTATTTTTTCCCCGAATAAGTGAGGTGTAGGGAAACTTGTTGAGCTTGTGCAGAAAGCGCTGTTGCCGAGGTTTCTTGACCATTGTTACTATCGCTTTGCTATCACTGAACGAGTGGTTATTTTGATAGCTTTTGGACTAAAGACCGGGTAGATGATGATTATTTATTGAATAATTGGTGTTGGGGCAGAAAATTGAATAACAACTTTGAGCTTTGTTTGTTTTCGATGTGGTTTGGGTTGTTCGTTTCAAGCTGATTGTCTCTTTTTCCTGATCAGGACCTGAAATCTGGCACCAGAGGGCAACTTGGAAAACATAGAATTCTGGGAAACTTCCTATATGAGCTTACCTGGTAAATCGCAGGAACAACTTTAAATTTCCGCACGTTGAGCAAGCAACAAGTTTCGGCAGATTTTACCGGCGGTCCTCTTTTGCTGCGTTCTTTGGAACATCCGCCTTTTGTGGGATTTTAGAGCCGTTGGGAACTTAGTGGTAGCTGGCTTAATTGGCTTTGAAGTAAAAACTTGGATTTGGTCGTAAGTCCCTGTATTTGTAGGCCAACCACTCAGTATTTTCTGGAGACAAAAATCTACGCCATTTTGTTGAGTTGTCGGTGCGAGAAACAAGCACGTTTTGTTCAACGAGCCTGAGGTGTAACCAGGGAAATTTAAAGGTTTCTATGAATTTGAACCGAATTTACATTTTTACCTTTTAATGTTATCAATATTTAGTTTATCATATCAGTATTTTTGTAAATATTTGGGATTTAATAAAAAAAAAGGGAATTTGCCCTCCAAGAGAGGCAATTTGTCATTAAAAAAAAAACTCACCAGTCACCTTGAAAAGGGAGAATAATGGGCTTATTAATTAATTTTTTTTAAAGGCAACTTACTGATTTCAGGGAATTTTCCATTTTCCTATATTAATTCAAATCATTTCATTTATGTACCGTTTGAGGGTTGGGATTTTGATTTTATAAATTTAAAGGGGTTCTAAGGATTTGTACTCTTTCAGGGGTTTTCCATTGGGGTTTTCTCCCTTTCGACAGTTTGACGGGTTGGTAACGTTTCGAAGTTGAGGTGTTACGAGTACCCAGAACACTGAAATCGAAACTTACCTTTATTAAAAAAGGAATTCAAGAAATTGATGGGTTATCTCTTATCAGGGCGGTGAAGCTGTCATTAGACAGTAATGGATGTTTGGACTGCAGGGAGGACCACAAGGGGGTGAGTCCCGTTACCTTATTTAACGTTCCATTAAGTTTTTTTTTTAAATTATTAATACTATTTCTTATATTACTTGGTGCATTTCCAAGTTTGTTTTACCGCCTTCATTATTAATTCGATGGATATAAGTACTGTAGCAATGTTTATTAACTTTTACCATATTTAACCCGCCCCGGTATAACATGGTATAAGCGTGCACAAGTTTTGATTTTTATTATTTCATCTTACTGGAACTGTCCACATTTATTTCCAATTACTTTGATTGTCATACTCATCAGGTATTTTGATATTGTCACGAATTGCTGAATGTCAAGTCTCTTTTACTTTCGCATTACATCATTGGAGTAAGGTGGTCAAACATTGGTAAATCTTGAGCTTATTATAGTATTCCAACTCCTATAATTTTACAAGGACCATTTTCTGAGCAAATTATGATGTGATCGAATGTGAACGTTTTCGTACTGATTGTTGTCAAAATTAATTAATATTTTATTTATTTATTCCACTATTTTAAGAAAGTTGTATTGACAGGCGTGCTTGACGATAACCCGATAATACCTAAGATTTCGGCGATTCTGAAACAGTTGGTGACACGCGTCATGCCAACTTGGGATTTTGTGTTTTGGTCTTTTGGACCACAAGTAACAACATTTAGTCTTCCTGGAATTTATTCGATCGACCTATTTTTTCTCAAGACAAAATGACTGTAGTATACCTATTTTAACCGACCTACGTCGTTATGGAAAATATTCGTGGATATTGATTAGTATTTACAATTAGCACGCACGATAGCACGCATGTATGTACCTAATCGCAAATTTTTCTGATACGGTGATAACTATTTTTTTTTCTTAATTGTTGCCAAGGTCTTGGTACCAATTATTTTTCTATGCGTTTTCAGATAACAAGTTTCGTTTACGGATTATTATTGTTTTGATAGGACTCCTGAGATTGAAAATGAATAGTAATCTTGTCGAAAAGTAATAATTTTTGTCACTTCAATTCACATTAATTTTGACAGTCCAACTTCATCATCCAAAAATCTCTGAAATGGTACTTGATCCGTATGGCGATCCAATATCCATATTATCCATCTATATATCAGTATCTAAATCGAACAATAAATTTAAGGAAAAAACGAGAGCTGGTAAGACATGATCTACAACAATGAGAAAATTGGGAATAGCTAAACGTATGACATAAACAACGCATTGGTCAGATGCAAAAAAAAGGCAAAAAACAATAAATAAGAGACAAGAAAAAGGTTCAAAGATTCAGCATACTTGGTAGGAAGGAAATCTCCTGAATCAATAATTAATAATTCTGTAGAGTTGGTATACCGATCGTGCGTTGCGTGGAGGACAACAAAAGCGATCTTTATTCCAAAACACAACCGGGATGCGCAAACTACAAAGAAGCCAAGTCATATCGTCCAATCAGATTAACCTCTTTTTTTCTAAAACGCTGTAAGAAATTATTGATATGCACATGAGAGACTGGGCGCTTTCGGAGAAACCCTTCCACGCAAACGACACGCCTATCAAGCAGGCAAGTCGTGCGAAACATCTAAGTGCAAAACAGCACTGCACAGTCTCAACTCCAGGGCTGAGAGATCCATTCATATCAAAGAGATCGCTCCGTGTGCATTCATTGATATTCAAGAGGCCTTAGACAACGGCCTCCTTTGCTGCGATGGTCAAAAAGCTGCTGAAAAACATGGAACTGACGACACCACTTGTAGGTGGATACGAAACAAGCTCCAACGCGGACCACTCTATACGGAGAGACCTTGGAGGTATCTGCAACTCGAGGTTGTCCACAGCGGAGAGTATTGTCACCCCTCCTATGAAATTTTGTGGTTGATGACTTGCTACAGCGTCTCAACACAGAGGGGTTCCACGCCCCAGGATATGCTGACGACGTAATCATAAGCTGTGTTCGTTTGTGTCATCTCATCTTCGTCGATTTGCTCCGAAATTTTGGCAGGCACGTAATTTTAAATTGAAACTGTCTGATCCAGTCACATGCCTGGCAAACTTTCAGAGCAAATCGACGAAAAAGATGACAAAAACGAACCCGGCCATAGTCGTGCAGGGAAGAGACACCGGGGGTGCGTTCAAGGACGGCAATGCTAATGTCAAAACCTACTTTTCCCCTTCCACCTGTAATTCCGAACCACGTAGGTTGGAGCCGAAATCGAACGCAAAATGCCAATTGGCTGTAGCCATTCCTGAACGCAGCCCTGGTGTACGGAAGAATTCATGCAGACAGCACTAAGACGTCTGCAGAGATGGCGTGAGGAGACCAACCTCACAATAAGCGCAGAAAAAAAGGGATTCTATCATTTACCAAAAAGCGATTCTACGATTCACCAAAAAGCGATTAGCGGGAACCCATAGAAACCTGAAGATCTTTGGTGAAAGTATAAAAACTATTAATGACGTGAACAATCTGGGTCTAAAGCCTAGCTAGACGCTAAATTGACACGGAACCAACAAATAGAGAAGATTATAAACAAAGCAAAGATGTGTCTTATGAGATACGGGCACATGTTTGGCAAAACCTGGGGCCTGAATCTGAAGATGGTGTACTGGCTATACATTACAATTATCAGGCCCATGATAACATACGGAGTCTCCATTTGTTAGCCAAAGATTGAGCAAAAAACGACGGCCATGAGACTCAATCGTCTAGAGAGACTGGATAGTACTCCCACGGCGGCAATAGAAGTAATTATGGGGCTAGAACCTTCAGATTTATTTATTGAAAAAGAGGCCAGCATCACGGCCTACAGAATGAAAACGGCAGGAGTCTGGAAGCCACAGCCGTGGACACATGTCATGGACAACAAACTATTGGAAATGAGATCATATCACATGTAATTCAGGGTAATTAGCCAATGATGAGTAAAGATTTCTTAAAACAATATTGTATAAGGCTAAAAATTGGTAAACGGTTAGCTTTTAGTATCTATAGTATTTCATAATTTCTGGCATTGCAGCCTGTGCCAGGTGTTGGGAGGAGAATAGAAGACGATGCGGCGCGGCGCGGGTTCGGCGTGCTCATATTTATGTTAGTAAAAATGTTCTTTTTTGGATGTAATGTTTATGTCTGTTG